TGTGGGTGTGAGACCAGGGTGTATGCATAAGGTTCGCCATTATTGAAAATGACTTGCCCCTGCTGCACACGCCAGGGTGGCAGTGATTATAATATCCAGATAATCATTTCAAACAAATTATTGTAATTATCAATCAATCATGACCTATTTAAACAGGGGTGGGGGTGCAAACAGAAGGTAAACTATGGCCTGAGGCACTGGATCACTTCTGTGACCCATGAGCCTCCCTCTGTCCACATAATAGCCCTCATACATTTAGGGCCATTTATGTTGTGCATTAAAGCTCGATTCACCAGCTTGATGCTGTAGGAAACAAAGTTAAAAACCCTAATGGCTCCACGACACACAGCTTCTCAATTGTTAACATAAAGAAAAACATATTATACTCTTAAGTCTATTTATAGACTTTATAGTAGTTCATTCATATCTTATGTACTACTATACAAAGTCAAGCAGTGAATTTAAAAGAAACAAAAAAAAAAAAGACATGTGAGTCAAGTCAGACTCCTTAACCCTTACAAAATATATTTCAGTGTAATAAAGTACCTATACTGAAACCATATAATATATCTGTGGGTTAGGCAAGATAACTCAGTGCAACTATGTGGTGAAGTTGAAAATATACAGCAGCTCAGATGTGAAAATCTGACAATAAGAAAATTATAAGTTATACAATTCCCCAATTTTGCAGACTTTACCTAACGGAAATAGTTAAAAAGGCATAAGAAGAGTCCATGGCTGCAACTTAATAACATTTTAACATTTTAGGATGAAAAACCTTTACAAGGTCTACTTAGCCACATTATGCTAAATGTAGGTTTAGAGAACAGTAACATCCACTATGGTTCAGATGAACACTGTCAAGAGCTAAATGTTACGTAAAAGTATTTTAAATAGGATTACATGGAATTGATGAATGAACAAGATACGTCCTTTTTAAGTCAGACAAATCACAGAAGAGGAGCGCAGTGGACAGGCAGCAGGACTTGATCGTTTCGAGGAGATATTTCTCTGTATCTATTCAGAGTAAATCCCCAGTGAAAGGCAGCATGAATTGATTCGATCTCAGTGGTATTGAGAGGCGAATGAATGAGGCTTGAAGGGTAGAGACGGAGAAATTGTGAGAGAAGTAGATGTATAAAGAGAGAGAGACAGATAGTAGCCTTCGGGTGAGAGATGATCGTCTTGGGAAAAAAGCAATCAGTGCTCATTGATTTTTCTCAGCTGCTTGAATGGAGGGTGTCTATCTGGAAGTCATTATCTGTCATCTGATCTACCGGAGTGTTTACACACGTCGGTGCGGACAGCAGCGCTCTTCTGAAGATGAGGATTAACACACACACAGACAAACACACACAGAGAGAGCATAGACTGTCCACTTTTTACCCTGCTCTGTAGGCCTAACTCCCATTTCTAATTCCAAGGATTCTTAAAGAAAACTTTGCTCCTCTGATACCCTTTCAGCGTCTCCATCACACATAACCTATGAACTTAAGTGAATGCCCTGTGTGTGTGTGAAAATATACATAAGCAGGGGCTAGATGGCTAAACAGAAAGATAGTCTTGTTTTGTATAGCCAAACCAGACTAAATCAAACAATCCCTGATCTTATCGCTAATAGCTATTGATAACAATCTTTAGCTACAACAACACCATCCAGTCTACTAAAAAGCAAGGAGGGATGAAATAAGTGGAGGAAGATGGAGGAAGTACACAGAGAGAGGATTCAGATAACAGACATTTTTCATTTTCTGGCTGTGTGTGGTGTGAAGATGCGTAAAACTGGATTCTGCATGTGCCTAAGCCAGAAAGGCTCCAAAAGCCTGGGGTCTGAACCCAAAGCTTATACATCAAAATAACAAACATCTGCACACACATTTAACTCCTGGGGGCATTTCCGGGCAGCTTTTAGGCAGTGAGGCTAGAGAAGCTGAGGTATTATCTTTGTTCCATTTTATCTGGTGCTTTATCTCAGACACTGCCTCATATTTGGCTCTATTCCTCTTTCAAACACATACAATACGGCTCTTCAGGCACAGGACAAACACAATAGCTGACTTTATCTGTTTCAGCAGATAAAATTCAGTCCTTCAGGTAACAGCTAGTTAAAAAGTCAGTTTGTCAGGGTTCCCCAGCATGATAACTATCAGGACTAAAAGGGGGCCAAATTATATGGGAAATAATAAAGACAATGTTTATTTCCTAAGAACCACTAAATTTAGCTGGGCTTTAAACTGTTTTTAGTCTGTGCTTTTATAAAAAAAAAAATACTATTTTATTTCAAAGTAACAAAGAAATATAATTCTGTAAATTATTACATTTGTTATATAAAAGTAAGAAGTTGGTACTCCATAAGGTCTTACTATTTAAAAAAAAAAAATTAAAATATTTAATGTCAAATTGAAGGATTTCTTGCAAAGCGCTGTCAGTTTGCTGATGTGTCTGGTGAATTGGGTTTAAGCTGTCATTGTGATCCCCAGATACACAAAAAACAGCAACAAATGGGATCGAATAACCCATTTTTACGCAAATGCACCTTGAAACATTGAATTGTTTTATTTGGGCTACAACCCAATTAATATTACACCCTAATCAAGCTAAGCATTTGTAATGACACAGAGAAGAGAGATAAAGTTAATGCCTTTTGTGCGTGTGGCCAGAATTTTCCTTGTATTTTTGAGCGGCTGCATGTGGATGAATGAGTCATGTCATAAGAAATGGCTCATGGATAATTTCATTCATATTCATAACAAGCATGTGGTCTGCCACCCGCTTGTCAAGGGCCTACCACAACTCACACTCTGCATAATGAGATGTAGCCAGTGTGTCTTTACTTATGGCCAGCAGGCGCACAATAAGTCTATGTTGCACTCTGCATGCACTCTGCATAAAGTTGCACTCTGCATCAGAGTGCAACTTCGTGCATCTGTGGTGTGACAGTTATCCAGGTATATAACAGTACAACTCATTGAATGAATGCATATGTGCTTTTAGAAGGTCGTTAGGTATTTTAGAAAACCAAGTAGGTTTTTCCACATTGTACAAAGATGTGGGGAACTCCGAAAAACCTAAACCAGCTGCGGTCAGCTCTTAAAGTAAGCTCATTGACTAATGTAGGATTTCAAATCAACCGAGGAGTCAGTGATTTACATGAAGGTCTGCCTGTTTATTCAAGGAGCAGCAAGACCCTTGACCTGAAATGCAAATACAAAAAAATAAGTGATTTTGTTCTTTCAAAAGGCAGAGTGGTCATACCATTTAGCTGTAAATTACAACAGGAGTAAGTCTGAGCTTAACACGCTTAGCTCACAAGGTTTCTTCACAACCTCACCAGTGTTAAGACTTAAGTAATCTTATTATATGGTGCAGGCTTTGTACAGGTATTTAATACTAGATTAATTTTGTTCTGCTTTAACATTCCTATCATGTGGATTACGGATTTGGTGATTTTGGTGCATGCTGGAAGTGTTTGTGTCCCTTAAGCTTTAACAGATTTTGTCAGATTTAAATGAGAAATGTCAACGTATTTTGCTGAGAGTTTATGTAGGAAATCAAGAGAATGTAGTAAATAATTAGGAGTCAAAAAATACAATAGTAAAAATGTAAAACATATCCTGTATATTTGCCTCCGTCTAAACCAATATCCCTAATACTCCAATTCCCCTCAACTCTGACCAGTTTATTTTCTGCAGCATGATGCTGTCATTACCACTATGTTTTATCCAGGGGATGGGTTGTTGCCATTGATAAGCAGTGTACGATTTTTAATAAACATACCTTTTTAAATAAATTTGAATTCTGGTCTGATCTTACCAGAACACCGTCTTCAAAATGTTTCCACAGTCTTCAAGCTTTTGAGAAGTTTTGACTCCTTCTGACAAATTTACATTTTTTTTCCACCAGAGCCTAAAAGATGATCCCACAAGAGCTTTTAGGATCTGCAGCTCCTCCAGAGTAACACAGACACTTTTTGAGCTGTTTCTCAAATTAATTGTCCCTTTGTCCACCCTTGAAGTTAAGGCAGATATTTATAGTATATCTCAGAGTGTTTGAAGTTTTGCTCTGTAACACATTCAAATGTCAATAAATTGTTTAAACCAAGCTAGACATAAACCAAGCTTTAAAATTCTCCACACATTACTCCATGATCTATCTACTGTGTTCTTTGTTCTGTATGTTTGTTCTCAAATTTTCTCCATTAAGCCTGATGCTTAGGTTTGTTGGAGCTGGATAATACTTAGAGCCGAATTCCTACTGAGAATAAATTACACACAAGTGCACTTTGTTCACTAATAGGTAATTCAGAAGGCAGCTGTGTCACTGGATTTAATAAAGGAGTATCAGATTTAAAGATGCTACATGCAAACTTAAGCCACACCTTCTTACATTTGAAAAATAACTGGCATTCATCAATACTTTTTCCATTTCACTGTACATATATATATATAGTCAATAAAATGATCAAAGGACACAAATGTTGCAGTATCTCAGGCATACATGTTATTGTTGTTGTATTTCATATTGACCTTCATTTCAAACACCCTCTCCTGTCATTAACTGAAGCTGGAGTTGTGCCTGCATACTTTCAGCATTTCCCAGAAAGTTTCTTCATGGTTTGCCCTTTGCAGCAGCCATTGTTCTTTCATGGACCATTAGATGGACATGAACTCTCCAGCCGTTGTGTTTTGACCCTGTGACACTGGCCGTAAAAACAAACTGCAGTGCCTCTTCAATAAATTCATCACCTCATAAAGTGGTCAGTGACTGGTCAATGAGACGTGTCGGTCACAGCATGTTCATTAGTAAACAGAGGACTTACTAGATGGGTGATCACTTTAGGTTCTTTCTGATAAGCGAGGCCTTCAGTAAACTGCACACCACTGAAAAGCACGAAATCAAAATGTTCTATCCATAGAGCCATTAATGTGATGCAAGGAAATATGGATGCTAGTAAAATAAACAAAGAGAGGAGGTTATAAAAACAATAGATAAAGAGATGATTATCTTACCTTTTTGATGCAGCTGTCTGGGGAGTCATCTGCATGGTCATTTATCATCTGCTGTGAAAAAAAAAGCAAAACATATTTTCATAATTACAGTTTTGATACAAATATACATATTTATTCTGAAATTACCATAAAAATAGCTTGCAACATTTAATTCTCCCATGAAAAGAAATCTGCTCAAAGATCCATTAAAAATATGATTGATTCCAGCCTTTCAGAGGCCCTCAGCCTTCTGTTGTGATCCAAGCTGCTTGATGATGACAAAGAGGGACGTTCATAGTTCATCACACAAACCCTGCGGGTTACAAATATAACCAAAGGGATGTCATAATGGGCCAAGAGGTCACTAAAACACAACCAGAAGTGAAACATAACATAAAGCTCATCTGAATGAATGAGGGCCCCACATTTGATGTTAATTCTGCACTACAGAATTGCTGGAAAGTTCGCTGAGAATGTATGAGTGTATTCGTTGGTGAGAGCGTGCATAATTAAGCCTTCAAGCAATATTTACAAGGGGGCAGATGGGTGGCAGAATGCTCCCACTGTCTGCCAGAGGAAATGAAGGAAGTGGGGCCATGATGAAAAGAAGGGGCAGCACCCACTGCAATGAGTGGGTGTTTCATACAGAGTGGCAACCCAACGTCTCCCCTTCTCTGCTCGTCTCTGTCCTGCCAAGGATCAAAAAAGAGATGTTGACTGTTCAGACCAGTCTTAGGTGGGGGACTGGTGTGCAGGGCTTAGGTGAAATTATGTTGAAATCTTTCTCAGCACAGCATATTTGGGCTTTGCTTTCCTGCACCATATCCTCCCAATCTGCCCTTTAACAGAAGGCTTGTTGTATGGGGGTTTTGTCAGAACTGTTAGCCTTTATATTAGAGCTGACATATGGAGTTTTATATTTCCTTAACCAGTGTGGTCCACCATAATTGGGAGAGAGACATTTATCTGTTTTGGAATGTTCTATGGAGACTGTGGCAGTATTCTTTAAATTCTGCCATACAATAACTTCTTTTATTTAAATGCGAAGGCTTGATTAACAAGAAATTCTAATGATCTATGTGTATGATCTGAAACTTCTACACAGACCATTGGATGCCTTAATACAAATGCCGTGGAGACTGTTCATTAGACTATTAAACCAATTAGAAAACCATGTGGTTTATTCTATCGTCTTGCTTAAGAGTCAACTAAATAGGCTACATGTGTTCAGTCTCACCAAATGGTTGTAATTGCACTGTGGATACTTAAACCGTTTTCTCCACCTACTATCTGTATGTCTAAACCATTACAGATGACCCCTTCTTAAAGTGTCTCAAGGTTTTACAAAAAACCTACATGGATAGTAATAGAAGCTTTTTTAAAGATGCATCTGTCACTTTATTCTTTGTAGCAGGGTTAAAGTCTGCTCTACTTTTTAATCAAACCCTTTATTGGGTACATTTAAGTTGATAGTTAAAAATTTGTAATTAGACTTTTAAGGCATCCATTGTTAGTGTATCTGGTTTGGAGACAAAAAAAACAAAAAACAAGTATAAACATTGTAAAGGACATTGACAGTAATGCAGAGATTGTATTAAAGAGACAGAGCGGTTGGGTTTGGCTCCTATTTGTTGTAATGCACCAATCCAGCTGCAACAGTTTACAAAATAGATTTGTTGGTTCATCTAAAATGCTACCAGGCGCTAAACAACTACACAACAACCCACCCCCTCAAACACAGACATACAACATCCATCTCTATTTAGCTACCTGCTTAGTGTCAATGTGTATATTGGGTGACCATGTATTTGTAACCTTGTGGGGACAATGTAATGTCAATTTCCCAGGAATATGCTACATTGTGGGGAATTACAAGCACTTTTAGTGACTAGTTGACCAGTCCTAATGAGAAAAGGTTCTCTTCTTGGGTTGAGGTCTAACAAGTGAATAGAGTTTGTTAGGTTTAGGGTTGCGTAGAGTATATGTTGGTAATCATTAGGCTTAGGGTAAGGGTCTGCCATAGAAATGAATGTGAAATGAAGTCAATGCAAAGTCCCAAAATTAATATTGAGAGTAATATGTGAATGTGTGTGTCTGAAATGATTGAAGAGTAACAGAAAAATCCAAAAGACATGCAAGCAGGCATAAGTTAAATTAATTACACTTAGTTTATTGTCAGAAAAAACACTGATTCTGGGTTGTTCTACAACACAACTTAAGAGTTAATCTACACTGTTTAACTTGTAAAGAAAAGTAATTAACGTCTATGATGTTAGCATTAATACAAAGGTAAGTTGAGGTGCTTTTTTGATCACAGTTTATTGGAGATAGTTAGAGAAGTACAACAACACAAACACCAACAACATATTATGTAACCCAACAGCACAACTCATTAATTAGGGGTAGAAACTTTTCAGACAACAGAACAATGGCTTACGGCATATGTCACTATCTTTTCAAAGTTACTTTTCCTCTGGGGTTGTAAGACTTCTAACTATATAAAGCAAGGGTAAATCATCCATTTGGTTTTTATCTAGCTGGCTAAATTCTGACATGTCAATAATTCTCATGGAATAGAGAAAACACTGAAGTGAGGGTAATTAGACAGAGTGTGTAAATGTGTGTCTGGGCACACAGCTTCCCTCTCTGGCCCACATGACCTCAAATGTAAACAAATCTAGACGTGCCTCGATGAAAGTGCAGCCACCTGCAGAATCCTTCCATCGAGAGTCGTCCAGACCCTCTTTAGGAACCCATTTTAACCAGCTTGTGTTTTTGTATCTCATCATGTCTGCGGTGTGAGCTTACACCATGGGCATTAGAGATGGAAAACCCCACCTTTTTTAGAGCTTTATAGGACAGTCTTTGTTGTTGGACACAGTCAGGAGTTTTTCACCACCACTTTAAGATCATTTCTGTTACTGATGACTAAGCAGACAAATTAAAACTCGATGTGCAGAAAGACACTTAATGAGAGGACTGACCTCATTATTTTTAAAAGAAACATCAGACCCTAAAACCCATGAGAGAGCAAAATTCTATACAGCAAAGAAAACTAGCCCTATAGAACCGTCTGTTAAGAGTACATTAAGAAAGAGAATTAGGTTTACTAACTCAGCTAAAGTAGATCCTTGAAAACATGGTTAAGGTCAGAGTTTGCTCATCATTGGCCAGACAGGAGTGAGAATAAGAAAAGGGCCCCACTTGGAGGTACACACTGTTGGAAAATGTTAGCATTCTGTTGCCAAAAACAATTCTTCTCGACTTCGGGTAATGTGAGGCAATACAGGACCATGGCCCAATGGATGACTGTAGATGTCACAAAGCCGCAAGTTTCCAAAAAGAACCAGCAGCAAACAAACCTCAAGTCTTGAATTGGGGCCCCAACTGACAACCCATTGGCTGCAAGAGCCACACCAAAAAAGCCACAAATTGAAAGTTTTGCTACACATTTATTGGGAGCTTTTGCAGCGTCTTGGCCCGTTGACAGACCTTCATTGTGCTGGCTTTGGCTAGGATGGGTCATTGATCTTTTTGACGTATAGATGGGAGAGAAAGCAATCATTAACAATGGACTCTGTTGAATAATAAAATGCCCAGTATGTCATTTTATGTCAAACGTCAAGATAGAAAAATGTGGAAAAGAAATACATGAGTTAAGTTTTGCAGTGCTGAAAGCTTTTAAAATAGAAGTGCACTTTTATGTCAAACTTAATCGGAAAATAGATCTGACTTTTCCGACTACTTGATACTAGCAAGATCAGAGTACCTGTACTTCTAATCATTAAAATAACACCAATGACCCCAGAAAATGAGGAGAAACAAGAGTGAAAATAAGTTTCCTATGTATCTTTTGATTATAGTGACTCTTGCTATTATATAAAAATCCCCCTGATTACAACCCTTTTGCTCTTTCTTGCCAGAGACTGCCTGACTGGGGATGCATGCCTAAATCAGTGTGCTTTTTAGCATCAAGTCAGATAGTGTCTGCTCATGGCTCCACGTCTTTTCTCAAGCATGTCCTTTAAAAGGGTGTAAAATAAGGCTATTTTTGGACTTCCCTGAGATAGGGCGTTTGCCAGCTAACCCAAAACAAGTCCAGGACTATGACTGCTTAAAAACATGCCAAAACAATGAGGTTTCTCACAGAGATTAAAAAGCGAAGTGGGAAGACTGAGGCATGATAAGGTAAAGAAAAGAGCTGAAATTTGCACCGCTTAATAGAAGGAAGTTGGGCGTCCATCAAAACTAATATATTTATGATTACTTTAATAGGTGAAAAACCTGTGGGGGCTTTTGCCAAGGCATACCTTTGAGTTAGAGCTGATAGGAAACTTTCACACTGTGCCTCCTGATAATTATTTTAAGAATAAAAATGTGTCTAATTGTTAATGATATAATCATAATGTTTAAACTTTTCTTAAAATCTTCTTTCTTTGAGCGAACCTAATGCTATTTTTCAAGGCAAAAGGAAAAACAAAAAGTTTGGCAGAATATAACAGCCTAAGGAGACACAAAAAAGATCAGATTTGGCTAACATTTATCACACTACAAAACAAAATCAAAAAAATCTATTACCCAACCTCACATCCAGATGGGTCTGGGTGTGGCCTGTGATGGAGCTGAACACTGTCGGCGAGATAGAGCTTAGCGCACAAAGCTTAGATTTGGAAGGCAAACATTCAGAAGTATTGTGTGACTGAAAAGTCATGGCCACTTGTCAAATACAAGCTGCTAATATTTACAGAACAAGCTCTGACCTCGTATGTCCCTAGAGTCTTTATGTGATTTATTAAGAAAATGCCATAGTGAAATATCCTGGCAGAGTTTGCATTGACCCTGGGCGGACTTGTCTCATCATTTCATAGTCCTGCATAATTCAAAGGTCTTGCACAGATACAAACTGTAGAGTCAAACACTCGGCAGTCCTGTACAATTCAAATATTTGCATTTATAACCTGACAAAAAAGGAGTTAAACGTATTTCCACCAATGGAATGCGATGTTACAAATTGAATAGAACTCACTCAGTAAACAAACCTTGGGAAAGAAGTTCACTTTCATGAGAGGATA